TTCCTCGGGGGGCTGCCCCTCGCCTTCACCGGGCCCGACCGCGGCGCCATCGACTGCCGGCAGAGCCTGCCCGCCCTGCCCCACATCTGACCCACTGCGACCCACAGGGACCCACATCTGACCCACTGAGACCCACAGAGCCTGCCCGCCCTGCCCCACATCTGACCCACTGCGACCCATAGAGACCCACTGAGACCCACTGAGACCCACATCTGACCCACAGGGACCCACTGAGACCCACAGCTGACCCACAGAGACCCACATCCAGAGCCTGCCCGCCCTGCCCCACATCTGACCCACTGCGACCCACATCTGACCCATAGAGACCCACTGACAGAGCCTGCCCGCCCTGCCCCACATCTGACCCACTGCGACCCATAGAGACCCACAGGGACCCACAGAGCCTGCCCGCCCTGCCCCACATCTGACCCACGGCCGACCCATAGAGACCCACATCTGACTCACAGCTGACCCACATCCAGAGGAGCTGCCCCACATCTGACTCATGGCCGACCCATAGAGACCCACATCTGACCCACAGCAGCCCGGCATGCCCCACATCTGACCCACATCCAGAGGGGCTGCCCCACATCTGACCCACAGAGGGGCTGGGGCTGACCCATAGAGACCCTGCCCCACATCTGACCCACATCCAGAGGGCCTGGGGCTGCCCCACATCTGACCCAGAGAGACCCTGCCCCACATCTGACCCATGGCCGACCCATAGAGGGGCTGGGGCTGCCCCACATCTGACCCACATCTGACCCACGGCAGGGCTGCCCCACAGAGGGGCTGCCCCACGGCTGCCCCACACTGGGCCTGGGGCTGACACACATCTGACCCACAGCAGGCTGACCCAGGGCAGGGCTGAGCCACAGTGGGGCTGCCCCACATCTGACCCACATCTGACCCACAGAGGGGCTGGGGCTGACCCACAGCTGACCCACATCTGACCCACAGCAGGCTGACCCAGGGCAGGGCTGAGCCACAGTGGGGCTGCCCCACATCTGACCCACATCTGACCCACAGCAAGCCCAGGGCTGACCCACAGCAGCCCTGACCCACATCTGATCTTCTGCTGACCCACAGTGGGCCTGGGGCTGACCCAGGGCAGGGCTGACCCACAGTGGGGCTGCCCCACATCTGATCTCCTGCTGAGCCACAATGAGCCCGGGGCTGACCCACAGCTGCCCCATGGCAGGGCTGCCCCACGTCTGACCCACAGAGGGGCTGGGGCTGACCCACAGCTGACCCACATCTGACCCACGGCAGGGCTGCCCCACGTCTGACCCACAGAGGGGCTGGGGCTGACCCACATCTCACCCACATCTGACCCACAGCAGCCCTGACCCACATCTCATCTTCTGCTGACCCACAGCAGGGCTGACCCACAGTGGGGCTGCCCCACATCGTGACCCACAGCGGGGCTGCCCTGCCCCACATCTGCCCCACATCTGCCCCACGGCCTCTGTGGGTCGGGGCACGAGCCGTGGGGCCGGGTCCCACCGCGGGCGCCGCTGCCGCCCCACGGGAGGGGACGTGGGGCCGGGGGGGGAGAAACGTGGGGTGGGGAGGGGGCGACTTGTGGGGCGGGACGTGGTGGGGGAGGGGGGGCAGAGCTTTGGGGGGGGGGGGGGGGTCCGCCCCCCACATTTCCGGCCCCCCCCCGTTTTTAACCGTGCCTCAGTTTCTCTCTCTTCTCCCTGCTGCCGAGGTCCGAGC